GACAAGGGTCCTTGTGTGAACATCTGCTCATGCTCACTTGCTTCCTGGTTTTCTTATGGAATCTATTGATGGGGAAGTGGTCCTCCGTTGTAATCTACATTAATAGACATGACTTAGGGGTAGCCAAGGCTAAGAACTTGGTCAGCCCGCCATGCATTGTGGACAAGGAGGTACCATGGAGCCTACCTGCCTTGGTGGATGGGTGGGGTAACCCGGTAGGAGGCAGTGGGATGCCTGTGACAAAGATGGGAGGCATGTCACACACAGTGCAGGAGCCAAAGACCTTGCTCAGCCCTACTGGAGACTGGGTGGCTTTCTCCTCCTGCCTTCCTTGGGAATGACCAACTGGGTGGATTTGCAGGGCAGCTGAGAGCTTTTGACCTGGAAAGTGTTTGATTGGGCCCGAGGATCTCCACAACTTGCATATAGGACCATAGGCAAGGCTTTTGACTTCTCTAAGCCTTGGTGCCTTCTTGTGTCAAATTGTCAGGTTGTGATACCACCTACCTTTTAGATTTTTCACAAATAATCCATGGAGAGTCTAGCTTACAGCTATTATTAACTCATGAATGCCCATGTGACCGTTGGCATTCTACTGTAGGGATAGAACCCCCTCCTAAGTGAGTTTGGTGGGCAGTTGCGAACCTTTCCTGATCTCCCAGGCATTTCTCCTACTGGTTGGGGTAAAGTGTGAGGGTCTGACCAGACAGCTGCCTAGAGAGAAAATGAAAGCAATCCCAACAGTTGGGAACCCTCCCCTCAGAGGGCAGAAGAACATTTAACTTCATGAGACTGTTCTCAGACCAATACAAGATGATGCAGGTTACACACCCACAGTTTTACCTGCGACAGGTTAAGCACTGTTAAACGGTAGCTGAGTTCATTAAAATGTTCGTAATGCAGGGCTCAGTGAGCAGATGACCACGCACAATTGCACGCAAGTGTCAGTGACAGCCATGTAAAACATGATCGTGAGAAGGGGACCCAGGAGAGATATGCCAGCACATTAACCTTGCCTGTGTTCGGTGGCTGTGGCTTGTTGCAGATCATTTCCTGTTTGTATTTTCTAAATGTTATTGAATGAATGGCTTTACTCGCTGCAGCAGGAAACAGATGGCTCACCCATATTGGGCATTTTGAGACTGTTTTATTAAAGGGACCTTGTAAGAAGGTGGAGGCTGATCTCAGTGACAGAAATGAGCAATGGTGTAGTTCTTGTCTGGTGAGTGGGGATGATAACACCCCATATTAGAAGGGGTAAGGGAAGGCAGGCAGGCAGGACCAGAGAGAGACACATGCACATGGCAACTTACCAGTGTGACTGATAGCCAGGACCAGAGAGAGAGGTAGGAGGATATTCCCGGCCCCTCTCCATTCCCCTCAGGGTTACTTGTGAGTGCATTCACTGTCTAGACACAACCCGAGTACCAGGGATCCCAACTGTGGGCTAAATGTGAGTCACCTCAGGGCGCAGAGCAGGGTGGGAGGATGAAGGATGAGCTGGTGTAGCACGGTGGGCCATGTGACCCTGAGAGACTTTAATTGGAGCCCAGAGCCTGTGTGCAGCCACCAGTGCCTTCATGCTGTGACTCCCACTCTCTAGGACACAGACCTCTCCTCTCCTCGCCAAATAACTTCAGCTCTTCAGGGCCACCTTCACCCGGGCACGCGGCCTCACTGTTACTAATTGTGTTTACTTCCGGTCATTGACGTCCGAACTCCCAATTTCTTCACTCACCAAGCTTACGTAGAAGTCACTGAAGTGTCTGTCGGTGAGAGGAAGAACGGAGTTTACTGGCAGTTACTTCTCCACCTCCTCTGGTTATTCCTGTTTTGTCATTTGTATTTTTCTGCTTATTTATTCTTTAATGTTTTTGTTACTGCACGTTGAGTGCACAGGACTTCGGGCGACACTGTGGTGATTTCATATGTGCATATAATACCTTTTGACCCTGTTCATGATTTTCTCTTACCCTGCCCTCATTTCTTTCCTCTTCCTCAATAGTCCTCCTTGTATGTCTTTAGGGGGGGGGGGGGGGGGGGGGACAGGGGAGAATAAAAATGTACTATTGCCTAAGTCTGGCTGATGTCAATGAACATGGTCATCTCTGGTCCAACCTGTCTTGCTGCAGGCAACATGCTTTCGTCCTTCTTTATTGTCAAACAGCACTCATTTAAAGACACGTCTATCCATTGCTGAGTTTTGAGGTAGATCCTCAAAGCTGGATACCTCGAAGGATGGCCCAGTAACTGCAGGTGTATAGGTATCTCTGTCGGATGCTGTCCTTGAGTTGTTAGGGTGTGAATTTGGCATGTTGTATCTAGCCCGTATGGTAGCTCTATTGTCATTGGAGTCTCCACCCTGATCTCACAGGGACTTAGGTCATTTCTGTTCCCACCAGCAGTGTGATTTCCGTTCCCACCAGTAGTGTCTGAGGTTTGCTTTCCAGGTGCCTCAGTATCCTTTGCTTTTGCTTTAAATGGTAGGCCATCTAATTGCTCTCTCTCCCTCTCTCTTTCTCTCTCTCATGCGGGGATTAAATTAGGGCCCCACCCTTGCTAGGCAAACGTTCCACTATTGAGGTGTATCTCCAGCCTTAGATGGAATCTCAGCGCATCTTTGATTGGCATTTCCTTGGTGGCTAAAGATGGTGAACATTTCTCCTATGTATTCGCCACTTGTACCTATTCTTTTGAGAGTCTACTGTCATCCTTTGCCTACTTCTTGATTGTCTAATTTGTTCCCCTGGTGTTTACCTTCTTTATAGCTGCTGGATACTAATCCTATGTTGGCTGAATGGCCAGGAAAGATTTTCTCCCATTCTGTAGGCTATCTGCTGACTCTGTCTATTTTTTCCATTGCTACACAGATACTTTTTAGATTGATGTACTCCAAGTTGCCAGTTCTTCCTATTATTGTCTGAGCTACTGGAGTCCTCTCCTGAGAGGCAGTCATTTCTCCTTCAGTTCTTGTACATAGCTGAAATATGACGTGGGGAAGCTCTTACTTGGTTATGTATAAATGCTTCCTATACTTGCATGTCCTTATCTTTCCCAAGATTTTGGAGAATATTTTTTGCTTTGGCTATCATTTCCTTAGTTAGTGTACTGTGTCTTTTGTCTATTTCTTTGTGTCTTCAGCACAAAAATACGTAACTTTGTCCTTAGATTTTTAAGACTGAATCTCATGTAGCCCAGGCTGGCCTCAAACTTAGCATGTAGCTAAGGATGACCTTTGACTGCTGGTCCTCTTGCCTCTGCCTTCTAGAGTTCTTGCACGTTCTGTTCATAATTTCTTAGTTTTTTTTTCTTTATTGCTGTCTGATTTCTCTAGTTCGTCACTGTGTTCAAGTCCTGGAATCTCCTCTTTGGCATGAGCTAGACCCTACATGAAGCTCTCTACTCAGATATTTGTATTGGCTCAACAAGCATTTCATTTCCAAGACTTTCTTTTGCTTTTTAAAATATCCATCTTCGTATTGAGTTCTCATTCATCTCCTATTTTGTCTTTCTTAATTGTCCCACTATTTCCTGGAATTCATTGATTTTTTAGAAACTAATTGTTCTGGATCCTTTAGTTGGCATTTCATCCATTACCATCTCCCTCATGTTGGTTGCTGGTGACTCTCTGACCCCCGGAGCAGTCTGCTGCCTTTTTTTGGTCTTCATTACATCACAGTGTTGGGATCAACTGCTGTGTCGGGATGGACATATGTTCTGTTTTAAAACATTTCATTTTTATTGAAAAATAACTATTCTTATATGTATCAGTGTTTTTCTTACATGTATGACTGTACACTACATGTACGAAATGCCCAAGACCAGAAGAGGGCGTTTGATCCTTTGAAGCTGGACTTGTGGATCACTGTGTGGGTGCTGGGATTTGAACCCTGTTCCACTGGAAGAACAGCCAGAGCCCTTAACCACTGAGCCATCTCTCCAGCCCTATTTTCTACTTTCATGCGAGGGTCTTTCTAGGAACAATTTTCTCTTAAAGATGCACCCTGAGGTTTGGGCTATTTAAATGGCATTTTGTAGTAGTTCCCTTGTTACATCTTTAACAAAATTTCACTATATTCCTTCCCTTCCCCGTCCCCTGTCCCCATTCCACAGTATGGTGTGGAAGTTAGAAGACAACTTCCTAGATTTGTTCTCTCCTTCCACCATATGGGTCTAGGGCAGTGAACTTAGATCATCATTCTTAGTAGCAAGCACCTTTACCCACTGAACTGTCTCTCTAACCTTCTGGTTACTTCTCTTGATAAATGCATTTTGAATCAATATAAGCTATGTTAGATCCTGAGGGTATTTCTTTTTCTGTGAGTCTCACAAGAGGGTGGTATTATGGCAGGTCCAGCAGATATACCATGGACAGTGTGTTTCACTGTCGGTAACTACAGCTCTAGTCTCAGCAGCAACGTATATTCCAAAGGATTATTGTAGCTACCTGTGCTGTGGACTCTGGCAGGTACCAGGCCCATGGTTTTTTTGTTCTTTCTCTCGGCTGTTGCTGTGTGAGGAGGTCTCCTGGCCCTCATACATACCTGGAATCTGGTCATCAGTTTTGTATGTGTCTGGGGCTTTGATTTCCCCAATTCTTTTAAAATATTGATTGAAGGTGACTGTGTGTCCAGATGCTAACTCTTGGGGCTGGAGAGATGGCAAAGTGAATAAGAACACGTGTTGCTTTTTTAGAGGACCAGCTTACAATATATACACACAGGACTCTTTCTACAATATAGAGAACATACAGAATATAAATTCTGTCTGTTCTTCTTGTCCCTTGTCAAGTCTATGCCACAAGTTTCTACTGGGCCAGTGTGGTATCCCTTTCCAGTCTACCCTACAGACAGTTGACACCCAAACCTTGCCACCTCAGCATCCGTTTCTGTAGACTTCCAGGACGCTATCCCTTGAGAGTGAGCCCCAGGGCAGGCTGAGCTCCATTCCCCACCCTGAGAGCTGTGTTTCTGCCACTCGTGTCTGTGCCAAGGGTGAAGATGGAGGAGAAGTACTACCCAGTGATCTTCCCAGACGAGCGGAATTTCCGCCCCTTCACTTCCGACTCTCTGGCTGCCATAGAGAAGCGAATCGCCATCCTAAAGGAGAAGAAGAAATCCAAAGGCAAGGCAACAGCTGAGCCCCAGCCTCGGCCTCAGCTTGACCTAAAGGCCTCCAGGAAGTTACCTAAGCTTTATGGGGATGTTCCCCCTGAGCTTATCGCGAAGCCCCTGGAAGACCTGGACCCATTCTACAAAGACCATAAGGTACTTTCACACGCAGGTGGGGCGTCGTCTCCTGCCTCCCTGTGCTCACATGTGCACATGTTCTCTGAATGTGACTAGTTCTCTGAATACAGTACTGGGGTCCGAGGGAAGTAGGCACTCCTCTTTCTCGTTGCCATCACCCTGTCTTTGTAGCTCTTTCCTGCTTCCTCTGATTCCTGCGTTGGGGAAAGAGATGAGGCTGACTCTGCAGAAAGGTTAAATGGTCACCACAGGAAGCAGCCGTGTCCAAAAGGAGCATGGCGGTCAGTCAGGACAGGAAGTCAGTCCACAGCTTGAGCCTGGCTCCATGACTTCAGACAAATGGCCACCCAGATCCTCACTTCCTATATCTAGAGTGGGAACAAATGTCTGATCTCCGTACTCCAAGGCAAGATGTGCTGTGGAAGCATATTTTAAATTGTAAATCAAACTGATATCCACAATTAACAGCAGTGAGAAGGGAAGGGATGCCCTTTTCAACGAGAGCATCAGCTCACAAAACATTTGGACCGTAGGCTTTCTAGGCTGTTAAGTGAGATTAATGAAGGTCAAACTGATAGATGATGCTCAGCCATTTAAGGCTAAGTCTGCGTTAGTCAAGTGAGCTCATGCGATTGTATCCAACCCCCAGGTCAACATATAGAAACCTCCATGATTTATCTACAAACTAATTCTGCTTTTAAATTTTCTTTCTTTCTTTCTTTCTTTCTTTCTTTCTTTCTTTCTTTCTTTCTTTCTTTCTTTCTTTCTT